AGGGATACCCCTTCAAAGGGTGTCTGTTTTCCTCCTCTCTAGAAATAGGGTAGTGGGTGGTGATAGCCTGAGGACACTGAGGATATGGTGACATTTCTCAGAGAAATAATAGGAAAGATAGATTGACAGGGAATTCTCTAGGAATTCCTCCAACTGTTGAAACACCTCAACTAGTATTCATCTATTCCTGGGGCCTTAATTTTTGCCAGTGCCTGTGGTGCAACTTGAACATCCACCTTCATTACCATTGGTTCTTGATTATATACTATTTCCTGAAAAGGTTCAGTGTTGACCAGTTCCTTTTGGACCAATGACTGTATTCCTTCCATCTTCTTTTGATGCTTCCTGCATCATTTAAGACTTTGCCCACGGAATCCTTCACTATTGCAATTCAAAACTTGAATTTGTTCTTTAGTTCTTTCAGCCTGAGAAATTCCAAGTATATTCCTTCTTTCTGGTTTTCTAACCCCAGCCCTTTGCACATTTCATTGTAATACTTTGGTTTTGCCTTTTGCTGCCTGTCTCCTACTGGAGTTCATGATCTTGAAGATGCAAAGAGCCCAACATCTTTTATCTCAACCGAAGCATGGCTCTAGCACTCATCTCAACAGATAGGTAATCCAGAGCGCAGTTCATGCCACTGAAAGTGATACAGAAAACCCGAACTGACTTATGTTTCTACGGCTCTAATTCCTAAAAAGGAATCAGCTGGACCCCACTTTGACCAGGCCTTTAGTCTCTCTTGTGTTTCTTCTTTTTGGTTCTCTGACCTGTGTTGATGCTGGCTTCTTCCTCCTCTGGATGCCGCTGCTTCCTCTTCTCCCTGCTGCATGTGCCAGTGTGTGTTCTGCTCTCTACTTCCCCAGTCCTGCCTCCTGCAATCTTGTCATCTTTATCCCTTACCTCCAGGACCACCTGCTTCTCCTGACACCGCTGCCTTTTCTTCTTATTTCTCCTGCTGTCCGGATCACTGCATGCTCTGCTGCTTGCTGCTTCCCTGGTCCTACCAGCTATAGCAGTCTCCTCACCTTCTTCATCTGTGTTCAAATGCTGCTGCTCCTCCACACGTTGCCGCCTCTTCTTGACTCCACTACATAGGTATTCTCTGTTCTCCACGTCCTTGGTCTTGACACCCTCTTCAGCCTCCTTACATCCTTCTCCTTTATCCAAGGTCAGCTGCTGCCTCTTCTTTCTTTTCCTGAGGGGTTGACTAGTTTGTTCTTTGCTCTTCAATTCTCCAAGCCCACTGGTCTCAGCAATCTCTTCCTCATTCTCTACAGTTTCCTCCCTCTCATATGAGACCTTATCTTCTTGGTGTTCTTCCTTCTTTTTCTTCTTCTTCTTGCTTTTCCTAAGACTCTGGTCAGTCTGTTCTGAGTGTTCTTCTCCATTCCTTTCTGCTGCTAGAGCATCTTCCTCCTCTTTTTCATTTTTTTTTGGAGGCTTGGTGTCAGGCTCTGGTTGAGGAGTCGCAGGGTCCTGGCCTTTGAGCTGAGCCAGGAAAGCCTGTTCCTGGGCCTCCAGACGAGCAAGCTTGGCCTTCATTGTGATCCCATGACGAGCAGCCTTGTGTGCTGTTCGTCCCTTGCAGGCTTGGCGCAACATCTCATCAGTCAGAATCTTTGGGGACTTGGGCCCTGGAGTGTCGTCATCACTGCAATTCTCCAAGTCCTTGTCTGGTTTCTCCCCACCAGAAGTCAGCGTGGCAGTCTTCACAAACTTCTGATACAACAAATTGGGCTTGAGACGATCACGACGTGTAGTCTCCTTAGTGACGTGCCTTATCTGTACTCCATCCTGCCCAGTTTCCACTACCAGACTGGCTGCAGTTTTGTTGAAGAGCTCATTCCACCAGTGGTTTGTGAACTCCTTGGCTGGGTCATGTCCTACCCCGTGAGTATCCTGCTTCATTGTCACTCTGATGGCCTGGGTGATACCATTCTCCTTCCGGCCCAAGCCTTTGCCTTGAGTCCATCCATGCTTTTGCAGCTGTTCCTCAGCAAACTTCATCCCACGACTCTTGAGCTCTGGGGAAGCACTCATGGTGAGGAAAAGGCACTGTCCTTAGGCCTTCACTGGAGAATTCACGTCACTGCGCGGTGCCCTGGGTGGAACCATGTCCCAAATGTGGTTTTTTTCAATTTTTTTATTTTAATAATTTTAATGAACATTTACAGATATTTTCATTCATTCATTGCTGTACTTCTCTCCCCACCCAGTCCTCCCTGTCCCCCTGCACCAAATGTTTTGACTGGGGATCCAAATAAGACAAAGTTGTTGACAGTCTCATCATTTCTCCATCTATTAGGATGTGGTTGAGGATTTTTGTTTTCTTGACACTGAGAAGCAATCCCTATTGAAGGCTGAAGTCTTTGATCTTTTGCATCACATGCTTCCTGTCCTCCTCACTTCAGCAAGCAAGGCTGTGTCATCTCCCTACCAACCGTTATTGATGAGTCTTCCTCCAATCTTGATGCCACAATCCTCTTCACAGAGTTCAGCTTTTTGAATAATCAAGTATTTAAGTTGTACAGTCTGACAACTTTCCATTTTCCTAGATTAATGAATTCGTACATTCCACTACGTTCTGATTATTAGGGAATGTTTGCAATTGTTTTTCCTGATTGTTAGTCATGCAACATGAGCAAATGAAAGTGCTGAAAGCATCTTCTTACTCCTGTGTAATTAAGATCAACTCTACTTTGAAGGAGCAGCTCTTCTCCAACTGTATTTTGAGAGTCTTCCAACCTGAGGGGCATCTTTCAATACTATATCAGATAATGTGTTTGCTATTTATAAGGTTTTCACAAGCCTTTTTCTTTTTCTAGAATTATACTGTCAAGCTCTTCTATCTAATCTGTCTTAGTTTGGAAGTTCTGCTGAAACCTGTCCACTGTGGATGACCGTAGTGGCATTTGAAATACCAGCAGCATAGCTTCCAGCATCCCAGCAACATGCAAGGCATCACAGTTTGACAAATTTGACAGGTGAGTACTAGTTTAATGTGTTAGTTTAAACCTGGGAAAAATAACACCTAAGGGACTAAGCCCAAGTCTGTGCCTCTCCCTTCCCGTCCACACCCAGGCTGGTTCTACAAGAACGCTGAGAGAAATAAAGGCGAGTGGTTCAGACCTCAAGCTCAAAAGGAGGAGCCTAGTTGGGAGGGGTCCAAGTTAACTTATTTCCCTATAAAGAAAGGCTTCTGGCATTCTAGAGGGTGGAGACAGGATGTGATTGAGCAACGTGCTAATACACAGGGAGTCCAGAGGGTCTTTTTCCTTCTCCAGCGCCAGGGCCTTTCCTGAGAGATGACCTCAGTCAATAGACATGCTTCCTATGAGGAGATGGGGGCTGGGATAGGACAGGGAGCCAGGCTAAAAGCCATCCTATATCCTTGTCTACCTAGTATGGGAGCAAGTGGAGACTCTGACACGGCTTCTAGAATAGGGCACTCATTACACAAGAATGCAAAATGACAGAAAAGTAAATTTGTGTAGACTCCAGTGCTATGGTCTAGCTAAGTCACGCAGACTTCCCTGTGTATATTAAAGCAGGCGCTAGATTTTTCTAGTGATTCCCAAACTTTGGCTTCTCTCCCAAGGGATTCTCCAGACTAAAGCAACCTGAGCTGTAACCCTCAGCCTTCTGCACATACATATGCATTAGTCATAATTAGTCATAATTTGTTGAATGGAGATAAGAATTTGTCATAATTCCAAATGTATGAAGAAGGCAGGTTAGTTTGCAGACAATGAGGAGAAAGGGTTTCCAATGATCTAAGCCATAACGGAACCCTCCTGTCTGATTGAGGACTATATGTCTTTATGTGTATTTCCTGGGTTCTCCTTCCTTCATGTCTAGTCTGCCCATTGAGAAAGACTCAGTGGGGTGATAAGAGTATATCACACTATGCACAGGGGTGACACTGAGCAACTGAGGCTGCTTTAGTTCCACTGTGATGGGTGTGCAGATGTGGACCTAAATCAAGTCTCCTCTCACCTCCTGGAATCCTGGCCTCAGACTTCCACCTCCCTCTACCCTTTTACCATGAGAATCTTCACCCTAAAAGTGACAAGCAGAACCATTGTTCCTGGTTGCTGTTAATCATCATCTTCTCTGCAGATCCGCTGGAAGGGGTGGCCAGGGAGAGGCTACCTTTCCAGCCACTATGGCTTTGTTTCCACCTCAGAGGTATAGACCACAAAGCCACAAGAGAACTCTGCCCTTAACTCCATCCTGCTATTTCTGGGCCCTTACGTAGGAGGGATCCCCAGCCATAGTTCCTTATGCTCAACTGGGCAGAAGCCAGGAGTGGTGCTAGGGCAAAGGGGCTCCTGCTGCCACCAATGGTTTTGAGGTTGTGGACTCCCTTATTATTTGGCCAAATTACTGCACTGATTTGCAGCTTTCTCTCCAGCAAAGCAAGTGGTAACAAATAAGTCACTACTAACTCCTAAAACACAGAAGGAACAGGGATGTGAATCAGGTGTTAGACGTTACCTAGTTTCTCTTCAGGAAGTACCAACCACCTATGTACTTTCTAACCCTAGTGGCCCCAGACTGGCTGCTTTGCTCTAAATCCAGCCTGGGACAAGAAAGAGACCACAAGCTGCAGACTAAGTCCTACCTTCCACAACCCAGCCCCCAGAGACACAACCACAGGCCCTGCATGTACAGATCCTTGCCTATGAGGAACCAGACACACAGTGTGCCATGGTGAGAGATCCCACCTGACTACATGATCCCTGCTGGCAGCCCACCCTGCTCAGAAGAACTCTGCAACATTTTGTGGCAAAGATACAAAGTGGGCTCTGATCCCCAGAGAGTCTGTTTCAGCAGGTCTAGAGTGAGGGCTAGGAGTCTGTATTTTTACCCAGGTGGTTCTGGGAGTCCAACCCAAGGAACATCAGATCGTCCCAAGAAACTGGGCCCAAATAAGTACCCCACCACAGCCAGTACATCTGTTAGCCCATGTGCCAGGCAGCAGCCAGGCCACTCACCCGATTGGCGGTGACGGCCAAATTCTGGAGGTTCTGCAGGAGACCAATATCGGCAGGGAGGAAAGTCAGATTGTTGTGACTAAGGTCCAGATAGCGCAGCTTGCGGCAGTAGAAGAGCTGGGTGGGGATCTTCTCAATCTTGTTGCGGTTCAGGTAGAGACGCTCAAGGTTGGTGAGGTTGCCGATCTGGATGGGTATGTAGGCAATGTGGTTGTACCACAGTTTAAGGCAGGTGAGGCGGTGTAGGTGCTGGAAGCTGATAATCTCCTCAATGGTCTTCAGGTTATTGTCCTTGAGGTCTATTTCCTGCAGGTTGTGGAGGCTGAAGATGGAGTGGGGGATGCGCTCTAGGTCACAGCGGGTCAGCTCCAGCTCCGTCAAGTTCACCATCTTCTTGAGACTGTTGAGGACAATGAGCTTGGTGCCCTCGTTGTTGATGGACAGCTTCTGCAGGTGCACGCCCACGTCCGTGACCACCTGCGGCAGCTTGCTCAGGTTGCTCTTGAGACGTAGCACCTTCAGGCGCTTGAGCTCCCGGAGCCCATCAATGACGATGTACCGGTTGTTCTCTGCACTCAGGTTGCCTGTTAGGTGTAACTCCTCCAGAGTCTTCAGGCTGTAGATCCACAGAGGGATCTCCTTGATGTCCGTGAACTTGATATGCAGTGCCCGCAGGTTCTCACGGAGAAAGGCCAGGGCAGGAGCCTCGATCTTGGCGGCTGTGTGGTACAGCCACAGCTCTCTGAGGCCAGTGAGCTGGGCAATGCTGGGCGGGATGGTTACATCGGGGATCAGCTCCAGCTTCAGCACCTCCAGCTCCACCAGGTCAAACACAGTGTCAGGGATGCCGCTGAGCATGAACAGGTGCAGCTCCAGCTTGTCCTGTGCATTCTTGGTGAGTCGCTGCCGGAGTTTGTCCAATGTCCACTCATTGTTGAGATTCAGCTGCCGCAGCTTGTTCTCACTCACCTCGGACAAGAAGACAGCGAAGCGCTTAGAGTAGAGTGGGTCATACTGGTCAATGAGGTGGAGCATAAATGCAAAGTCATTCTTAACATCGGGGATGTCACTGTAGCTGCTCTCCTCCCGGATCGACTCGAAGGAGTACTTCTTGAGGGAACGCCGCAGCATCCACCACAGTGTGTACATGCAGATGAGGCCATAGAAAATGACCAGGCTGATATAGAAGGATGCCAGGATCTTGAAGAGCGTCGCCAGAGGATGGGCACAACGGTAGGTGCGGTAGCCTGTCAGGCTCTCAATGTCCACAGTGCAGTCGACATCAAACTTGATGTTGTGCACGTAGTAGACGGTGTAGCAGATGATGAGGATGAACTTGATCACCTTGATGATGGTCTGCCGCATGTAGAGGCGGTACACAATGTCTCCCTCCTCTACATGGGTCCGAAACTTCTTCACCTTTTCAAACAGTGCCTTGGCCTGCTCCCCCTCCTTCTTGTCCAGAACACCGGTCTCGGAACGGTCCACAATGCCCTGCTCAATACGTGACTTAGTCCGCTGCAGCATGGGCACAGTGGCCTCCACGTCCTCACTGACTGTGGACGATTTCTTGTCCATGGAGCCGTTCATCTTGCTGAAGGCTGGCTTGGGGTCACTCTCTTCCACCACTGTCTCTGACAGGGCTCTCGTGGTCCATGGTGAGTCAAAACACTTAAGCAGGATAGATACAAAGTGCTCCAGCTTTGAGCTGGTGCGTGGGAACTTGAACCAGAAGTTACTGCAGGCCAGAAAGATGAGGGTGTGCAGAAGCACCAGGTAAGGGAAATACTTGGCAAACCAGTGCAGTCGATTCTCATAGCACACAGCATCCACATAGTTGTACTGATGCCGGTCCAGGTCATATTTGATGCCGGTGGGGCCAGTGTCAGGAGTTGGCAGGAGTGTTGTATTGGGGTAGCTGGGTTCTGGGCTGGGAGCTGCCCAAGCCCGGAAGGAGTCGTTGCAGGAATCCTTGGTGACCCACTTACAAGGGAGGCAGATCATCTTGTCTTGAGTCACCTGCAGCGTCCCACCAAAAACAGCAATCATCAGCATGACGATGGAGATATAGTCAGTAAATACATCCCACCATGGCTTCAGAATCCGGTACGCTGGCTGTGTGTCCGCAAAGTAGCGGAGTTCCGTCACTGGAATCATGGTTCAACCTGAAAGGGACCCACAGGCAGAGGTTACCATAGTGTGCCCTGGCTTTTGTGGTAAACAGTGCATAGGAGCCAAGAAATTTCCTGTTCAAAACTCCACCTTGATCTAGCTGGAAGTCCTAGCCTTGCCATACCAAAGATCAGTCTTTCTCAACAAACCACATGGAGCCAGCCACTTGACCGGGAAACCATCACAAGGAAAGGCAGGCAGTATCCCCACTTAACAGACAAGAAGACTGCACGCTGTGAAGTCAGGCCCATGCAGACAGATCACTGATGGTTCCTCATTTTCTCCCATCAACACTGTCGCTCACACTGGACTCTCACACTGCATTCCACTAAGATCACTCAAGAAGTTTTGTGCTAGATTCCATCCTATTTATAATCAGACTGACCTGAGGGCCTTGTTTATAACTACCAGGGAACAGGATGCAGTCATCACGAAGCTGTAACAAGGACCTGAAGGGATTTCTGCAACATGTGAAAAAAGAAAACTACAGATGAGTGCATTGAATAAGAACACATTTTAAAAAAAAGTTTTAGAAAAAAGTCTACCTGTGTGCACAAGGTTATGTCCATATAGCATTCTGGGAGTATTGAGGGGAAAATGTATGGACACTCACAAAGTTTTAAAGGATGGGTTCATGTGGGAAAGAGCCAAATTGAAAAAATAAGACTGTTCTCTTCAATCTGAAAGATCTGGTAATACCTATGCACTGATGTGAAATTATCTCTGTGTGTGCACGTCTGTCCCTCTGAAGGGTCTAATTCAAGAGGTCTTAGTTGGAGCCTAGGAATCTGATTTTTATCACATGGCTCTGAGGAGTCTAATAATTGGCCAAGTTTGGGAAACACTGAGTAAGAAGCCATAGTCAGGAAATAAAATCCAAAGTGCAGCCAATGGAGGAGCACAGCAAAATAAACACGGATGAAGGAATTCTGGCCACCTCCAGGAGACCTTCCCCCCTTGGGCCACCCTGGATCACGCTTTGAAGGTCAGCTGTTCTAAAAATGGCCTGCTAGAATGCAATGAGACTACGAAGGTAGTATGTGTTCACAGCAGAACATTCAGAAAGTATAAAAGTGCATAAAGACAACAAGACACCATGTAGGGTTACCCACTGTTAATTTTTGATTAATAGCTGCCCTGTCTTTTTTCTGTTCTTTAAAAAATAAAGTTGTGATTTTACTGGATAGCCTATTTTGTAACCTAGAATCTAGATTTTACAGTAAATACCAGTGTTCTCTGAAACAGGTGTGTTTCTCTGGAGGAAAAGCCTAGAAGTGTCTTGATTAAGGGACTAGGTCATAATTTGATTACTGGTAGTAATAATAATGATGATTGTAACAAACTCATGAAATGAGAAGTCCCTGCAGGTGTTAAACACTTCCAGTCTCTAGACTTTCTAAGTGGGTTGGGAAAGGTATTGTGAAAGTGGTGAAAGATATACAAAGGGAAGAAGGAAAAAGGGGATGGAACCTCTTTATTTCAAAATCGTAAACCAACCCGTGGTCCTCAAGTTCATTCTGACCCCTGGCGACCCTCCCTCAGGAAGATGCTTAACAGGAGAAGAATGCTTCCTCCTTCCCCTGAGGAGCAGCTGGAAGATGTCCCCTGTTGAACTTTCCTCTAGCAGCCCAACATACATCACATTATACCACTTGGGAGAAGAAATGAGTACTTATTGCATTGCCACAAATGATGGCAAAAAAAAAAATGTGTTTCGGGGAGCTCTGGTGGCCTAGTGGCAAGAAACTGCACTGCAATCCTAGAAGAACACGGTTCAAATCCACCAGACGCTCTGCCGGAGAAGGAGGCGCAATATCCTCCTGTACCATTCAGATCTGATTTGACGGTACACGCACACAAAATAATAAAAAAAAAATGTGTTTCTAAGCATGGTTGTCAATTTAAGTGTGCGGCAACGTGTTAATAGAGGTGATGGTGGCCGCAGCATTTCCTGAGGGTCTGACCTTCACTAGCCAAAACAGAAGGGATTCAGTGAGATCCCTTCAACAAGAGGGAGACAGTCCCTGTGTCCCAGTCCACATGAGGGAATGAACTCACCTGCTCCGTATTGCACTCTAGTGAGTATCAGAGCACAGACTGAATGCAGGCCTTACTCTCCACCGGTGAGTTCACAACCTCATTGCCTTGGGGGCCCTATCCTCCACCTGCTCAAGTCTCACACATGAGCTGTGCCAAGAGAAACCAGGACTATGAGGCCAAACTCCTTGCCTCTCCAAAAGGTTACCAGAGTTCAGGTCACTGCAGGGCCAGCAGACACTATCACCTGCCTGGGCTGGCAGCTCCAGCCCAGAGAACAGCCCTCCTGGAGAGGCCAGGCCTCATGGCCACTCCACAGGAAGGCCCCAGGCCCACTAATGACCATCTGGCTCCTTACACCACCCACACTCCTTGGAAAGCCGCACTCTGGGGGAGGACCTGCTGAATCACTAAGACTGCCTCCAGCTGAGAGACACCCTTTCCTCACTTCCTGGCTGCCTAGATCCCCTTCCAGGGTGGGGGCCTGCAGACTGGCGACCGGAAAGGAGGAGGGGCCAAGACAAGGGGGCCTGCCTAGGAGCCCCGGAGACTATAATGCCTCCCACGGGCTGAGCAACTCACTGTAGGAGTGGGGGTAGTTTATGACCAGGCAGGATGTGGTCACAATTTCACCGTATTTCTGAGGGAGAGTAGGGTGTGTGTCAACATAAGGAGAACACCCTTTCTCCCCACAGTGGAGTCACCTCTGGGCCCCTGCTGCCTTCTGGCTCCCTGTAGCTCTGAGGTGGGAAATGATCACAGCTGTTTTATAGGGAAGCTGAGGCTCAGGGAGGTAAACCAACCTGCCCAAGGTACAAAGCTGTCCACTTCATTCACACCTGACTCAAGCATTCCCTTCTCTACCACACCCACCCTCCAAACACAACCTCAGCTCAAGAAATGGCCAGGCTGTGTCCTTGTCCATGTTAGCTGAGATAATGACTACTGCCAGAGCAGGATGAGATTAACTAAAGAGATGGTTACTGTTCCCCAATGAGAACAGTCTTTTTCTTTGGAGCACTGAGTACGTAGGGGCTGGCTAGCCCAGGGGTAGAGGTAGAGACTAAAACCCACACAAAGCTCTATATAACTCCCCTCAAACTTACTACCATCAAGTCAATTGTGACTCACAGCGATCCTTCACTGGATTTTTCAGGCTGTAATTTTTTTTTAAATGTGAAGAGACAGCTGATCCTTCTCCAGTGGAGTAAACCTTTATACACTTTCAGTAACGTAACACACTATGGATGGACTATGCTACCAGACAATTCCTCTAAAACCCACGAAGAGAGAAGACAGTGCAGCCAGTCCTGTACCAACCCTTGACCTGGAGGACCCAGTGACTCCTCAGGCTCAGAGAGGTGGAGTCATAGGTCTAGGTCACAAAGCTAAGAAGGTACAAGACTATTTTACTGCATGTGACCTGCCAGTGTAGGCCTCTCTTTATGCAAGTGACCTGTCCTGAGGGGTCACCCTTTACTACACCCATGTCCTCATCTTATCACCCCTCTTGGATGGAATGTTATAGGCAATCAGGAGAGGGTGCAGATGCCAAATTCAGGGCTTTTGCCCCCAGGAATATCAGAGAAGAGGTGCCTACCACAAAGCCAGGCTCCCAACAGTAGAAGGCCAGGGACCTGCCTCACAGCACAAGGAGCCCCTGCTCTTGTGTGACTTGCTAGGGAGTTGCAGGGAAGCTAGCAGAGATGAAAAGCAAGGACAAACCAGAGATCCAGCTGTAAGCCAGTGCTCTTCTGCTGTCTCACTGTGTGACCCTGGATGAACTCTTCACTAACTTCCGGCCTCAGTTTTTGGTTCTTCACATACATAACAATGACTATGTTACATAATGCTGAGAAGTAAATGAAATATGCTTTCAAGCGAGGCAAGTGGCCTGATGCTCCTGGATCTTCTTCTGTTCACAGTAAATGTTCAATAAACCAAGAGCACCTGAAAAGGGGGGACAAGATGGGAGGAGTGTACAGACCATGAGACTCAGGGTGCAGTGAGGATGAGGGGTTTCAGGTGGATGTGGGGCCTTCATGGACAGAGGGAGGAAGCTGAAGCCAAAGAGGCTCAAGGGCCCTCCCCCTGCCTCAGAGTCTTGAAAAAGGGAACAAATCCCTCAGGGGTGCAGAACTGCAGTCACCAATGCAGACCCACCCAGACCTCAGGGACTTGAAGCAACCAAACTCCCACAGTTAGAGTAATTCATTTAGAGACTGATCTGCTAAAACCAGAATCCTTACAAGCTCAGATAGTATCCATTGTTTCCTGCCTATTTTACAGATGGAGAAACTGAGGCTCAGAAAGAGAGAGAGAAATAAATATGCCTGACCTCATTTAGAGAGACCAGTTAGCCTAGTAGACAGAAAGTGATGCTACCAAGCCAAAGGTGGGTGACTCTAATCCGTGGCCCTCAGGACTATTTTTCATTGTTTTTGGGAAAACATTCTTCTAGGTTGTATAACCCTGGTGTGTCCACTTTCCGTACAGAGGAACTTGTGGTTGCTGTGAAGCTGAACACTGTGACACTGATGTGTCAAATGCGATAATGGTTACCCATGGTGGATGAGGTTGAGTGGAGCTCCCCAATTAAAACAAGCTTGGAAGCAGGAGTGGCATCCACTTCTATAAAAAGCTTGTCTCCAGAAACCCTATGAAACTGGAGAAAGGATGAAAGTCACACAAGTGTCGAGGACTTTCATTCATAGGGTCGCTATGAGTCGCATATGACTCGACGGCACTTAACAACAACGACAACCACCTCACTTAGTCTATAACAGAGGCAGCCTTCCGATCCAGATCGGCTGTGGTGTCTAGATAAACAGCAGCTTGAGATGGTGGAGACACACAGGGCAGTTCAGCTACTCTGGGGCACACCTGAGTGTATTCAGGAGAGCACAGGATGGGAAGGGGCACCCTTCAATTATGGCAAGTGCCCTCTG